AGTGTCAAAATTATTCGGCAATTTAGAAAATTTTTTAAAACCGAAATATACCCTTCCTTTAAGTATAAAATTTAAAAAAGCTGTAATTTGCTACCAAAAGGGTACAAGAAATAAGTTTTTCGTGCGTGTTTTCCAAAAAATAGATTTGAATCTATAAAGGCAGTCGAAAGTAATGACAAAAAGGCATACTACTTAACTAGTCACTTTTTATAGTACATACTTTGTCCTGGCGGTCAGAAAGAAGCTCGTTAAAACGCTGGCATCCTGATGTGTCCAAAATATGTTGAGATTAGGCTGTAAGGTTGTCTCTGTTTCAACCATCCGCAATTAATCTGTTCCAATCGAAAAATCATTTCAGAATTCCGGGTGCCATTTCATGAGATAGTGAATCTACTGTATTTGGGACTGACAGACGCGCTCATGAGGGGCGAAGCGCCAAAACTCGAATTACGGAAGGTTGGTCGTCCTAATCCGCCTTCAGACAAGTTGCTCTGACTGGTGTCCATCCCGTCTGATTGCACACGTGAAGTCCGTGCAAAATACCGCAAACTACAATTTAATGCGCTCTCCCAACCACCCTGTCCCAGGTTCACTGGCATAAAGCAAATGCCGTGGCCATATGCTTGGCAAGCCCAAACGTGTGCAAGCTTAAAGCGTTTATACAGGCCCCAGGGTCAACCTGGCTCAAGATAAACTTCGCACGTGTGTTTATACCACCTGCCGCGTCGTGTTACGTTGACGAAGCTGGAACATGGGTAACGGTCAGACACCTCCCCTCCCCTAAACCCCTGACAGAACCCGACTATGACCCCTGATATCTGAGCGCCCCCAGCCCTCTGCCCCATACTTGCTGTTCACTAGCCGTTTTAAACTTTGTCACTCTACCCAAGGTTCTCTTACTGTGCCGGTCTGATGATGAATAATCCAAAGCGTACATTTGTCAAACTTGACTTCGATTCCGATTCTCCGATTCCAGTGATCGAACCTGCTTCTTCTCAAACTTGACTTCTTACTTATTTGACTTACTTCTTTATCCCCTCGGCACTTTGAATGTCAGCACATATTTCTCTTTAGAGATAATGACCTTTCTGTTCCGCGTCGAATTAACAGTTGACTTCGAGGTTGACAGGTTTCTGCAACGATGCATTGTGACTCATCACGGAGTTCGTTGAGGGTAACTTGAGTAAAAATGATAGTTTCTATAACGAGTTCGATAGGAATTTCCAGAAGGAGGTATATCATCAGAATTGCCCTATTGGATCAATTAGCATTTACTGGATCATTGTATGAATTCTAAATTTAAAACCTGAAGGCACAATTTTATGCTTCTAAGAGGTAAAACCGCTAGATTTTGGGCATATGCGTATTTTAGTATCGGATATTTGTCACCGACAGCACGGCCTTAGTAAATTTACTCAGAACACCAAAAGCTCGGTTTGGCTTGTCCTGGGAACCTACATTTAAGAATCCCACTTCGACAGGCTTACGTTGTTAATTATTCACCCCCAGGCCTTTACAGTAATACCAAGGATGATAGAGTGGCAAAAGTTAAGTCAGCCAATGAACAGCACGT